ACATCCCAATCTACATTTGGCATTCACAGTGAAAGTCACCCCATGTGCTTTCACACAGCCTGCCTGGTTTCACTGCAGAAGCTCTGCTCCATTCAACACCCTCCTAGTTTCACTCTCAGTGAAAGCCAGAGAATGATTCCCCCAGCAAGTGATGTAGTTTCACATTTCTCAGAAAGATGAAGCTTCGACTTGGCAGCTCCTGGGAGCAAAAGAAGAAAGAAATCCCTAAGCAGGAAGCTAATTTTCAACTGTGTGCAATTATTATTGTGGTTTTTATTTACTGCTATTTTCAAATAAAATTGTGATCACTGATCAGCGATCACCTGTCTTTGAAAGGTACCATGGCACTTTCCTCCTAGTGGTGTAATTCCTCCCACTTTACATAGGAAGACATCCCAGCACAGCAAGCCTCTGGCAACTCCGCCCCTGACATGCAAGAATTCAGATTTGACTAGCACTCACCTCTCCCAATTCCCAAGTCAGTGATTTAATCACTGGACTGGACTGCCTCCCTTACTGATTTGTGATGAGCATGTGGGTTTCCAGTTATTCGGAATGCTTGTTTTCAATAGGGGTGTAGGTTGTAGCCATGTTGGTCTAAGGATATAGGCAGACAAGGTTCTTTGGGTGAATCTGATATCTTTTATTAAACCAACTTAAATAGTAGGAAAAAAGTTTTAAGCAAGCTTTCAGGTTAAAAAAACCTGAAAGCTTGCTTAATTTTTTTCCCAACTATTTAAGTTGGTCTAATAAAAGATATCAGATTCTTCCAAAGAACCATGTCTGTTTTCAATAGCACATTTACAAAGCAGGGTATAGAAGGGCATTTGTAAGATATTGTTAGGTTCTGGGGAGAGAGTTTTTCCTCTTTTTTTGAAGGGAGGCTGCATTAAATTTTGAAGGAGGGTTTGCATAGAAAAAGTGAAATTCAAAATTGTTGTACTGAGAGAATCTCTGCCTGTTTTGTTGTGCAGGGAGGGAGTTCTTCACTTTTCTCTGAGAATTAAACCAGCAACTAAACTAACATTACTTAGCCAATATATTAGACAACTTGCAGAACACCTGAATCCTTCCTCACGCCAGGGTTTTGCAGTGATTTGCTGTGATTATTTTGAGCACCAGACATGTTGGATGGGTTCTTGCTGATTTTGGCCTGTAGCGAGAGGGAGCCCAAACAGAGCAGTGAGTCAGAAGCAGGTGGCAGTGCAGTGCACAGCTGTCTGGGTGACTGGGGCGGTGCTGGACTGACTCACTTGAAGAAATTAATAACACAGGAGTGGGAGGAAGACAAGAGGCCATCTGGCTGTGGATGAGGTTTGGACTAGAAGGAAGAAGCTAATTGGGGATGAAGGCCAACATTTTGGTAGATCTGAGACCTATTTGGATTTAATTCATCCTTTGAGTTCTTTTCATAATTACAGCCCAAGTGCCTTTGTTAGGGGATGGTGGAAGAACCCAGGAAATAATCAAATATGTTATGCTTTTGAGTTTTCTAAGCTGAAAGAAATCAGAAGTAGCACTGATTAGAAACTGCAATACAAACAGGTTTTTTGCACAGAATGACTGAGGGTATCCAGCAGTTTGCCATGATGTGATAGTATGTTTTCATGTGCCCAACTTTGAAACAGTTTCAAGAGCCAATTATACCTGATCCTACCAGTAGTCACACATATGAGCATATTTTTGAGGAGCCCCACATGTTGATGTGCAATAGCGCTGTGTGAGGCTTCAGATGGTGCTTTGAATCCGGACAAGATTCAGACACATTGGACGCCAAAGCAGCATGCCCAGATCAAAGCGCTGGCTTCTTTAGGCTTTCGGAAGCTGTTCGGAGCTTCCAAAGTGCTTTGGAAAAGCTTCAGAGCTGCTTCGGAGATCTGGCCGTAGAGTGTAATGGGGAATCAATGAAATATCTATAACTTTGTTGTGTTTTTTTCTGATTTGGATGAAACTTGCAGGGGTGGTAGCGTCTGCTGAGAGCACAAAGCCTGCCAAGTTTCAAGAGGATGGGTGCAGGGTCTTGGGGGGAAGTGCACCCCAAATTCTTGAAAGCAAAACTCATGTCACGTATACGTGTTACACCACAGGGGGGTGAAAACTGCAAGGGTGGTGGCTTCTGGTGAGGCCACAAAGCCTGCCAAATTTCAAGAAGATCGGTGCACGGGTTTGGGGGGAAATGCACCTCAAGCTGCGGACAAGCAAAACTCATGACATGGGTGACACTGTGTGTGTTAAGGCGCAACGGGGTGAAAGCTGCAGGCCTGCTAGCCCCTGCTGCGGCCACAAAGCCTGCCAGCTGTCAAGGAGATCGGTGCAGGGGCTTCTGGGTTCTGGGGCCCTGCACCTCTGACTGCTGACAGGCAAAACTCGTGCCATGGGTGCTTGTGCAACTGACTTGTTTGTCTTGGGGCAGTTGATTGTCTGTATTGATTATTTCCTCTTCTTCTCCTGTGGTTTTGTAGGTGTTAATCCTTAACTTGTTATCTAGTAGCTACTAGTAGCTAGGTCCTGTGTATTGAGCTGGTCCCTGAATTAATCATGATTGATTGGTAACTGGTAACACAGTAGCTTAGCAGCCACCCCCACCCCCTGCCCCAAGACAGACACAGTTGCACAAGCACCCATGTCACGAGTTTTGCCTGTCAGCAGTCAGAGGTGCAGGGCCCCAGAACCCAGGAGCCCCCGCACCGATCTCCTTGACAGCTGGCAAGCTTTGTGGCTGCAGCAAGGGCTAGCAGGCCTGCAGCTTTCACCCTGCTGCACTTTAACACACACAGAAGTTTTGCTTGTCTGCAGCTTGAGGTACAATAACCCCAAACTCCTGCACTTACCTCCTTGAAACTTAGCAGGCTTTGTGGCCTCACCAGAGGCTGCTACTCCTGCAGTTTTCACCCCCCTGTGGTGTAACACATACATGACATGAGTTTTGCTTTCAAGAATTTGGGGTGCAGTTCCTCCCAAACCCCTGCACCTATCACCTTGAAACTTGGCAAGCTTCATGTTCTCAGCACAGGCTACCACCCCTGCAAGTTTCATCGAAATCAGACAAAAAACAACAAATTTATAGCTATTTCATTGATTCCCTATTATACCCTATGGCCGGATCTCTGAAGCTTCAGTTGAATCAAAGCGGGAAACCGATCTGGAGCTCCGGATCGGATCCCTGGCATCCGAAGCGGCTGGATCCGAAGCCAAATCGAATAGCTGCCTATTCTCACAGGCCTAATGTGCAAGTGTTTACCGGGCTGTATTCTTAGTTTGGAAGATAAATTAATTATGTTGCCTGTGTTGTACGTTTATCATTTTTGCTATTGTAATGTGGCGGCATTTGCAGATTAAATTAAATTTCCTTTCAGCTAATGATACCCTTGAATGCACCTCAGTGAGGTTCTTCCACCCATAAGGTTTGTTTTCTTGTCCTGAAGGCATTGTGAGGAAATAAAGTTTTAAAAAAATCTGTTTATTCCAGTTGTTCAGAAGTTTCTGACTGGTAGAAGAACAAAGATGTCTTTCAGGTCAGAGCTACACTTCCCTCATTAAATCATACCACCTGATTTCTTTCATATCCTGCATGTTCATTTAGTGATCCATCAAGTAATGTCAGGTAGTCCCCTGGAACTGGCACGCACACTGACCAATCTATTGCCCCTTTGCCCTCCATTATATATCAATGATCTCCCACAGCAGATATGACACTATATAGTGCAGACTCCTTACTTAGACAAAACTGCTAATGGCAGCAAGGGAGAAGGTGGCATACAAAGAGTCCTAGGGCAGAATCCTATTCTACTTGCACATCCAAAAAGTAGTTACCCCACCACATAACTGCTATTTTTAGCATTCACTCACAGTTTGCAATTCTGTTCCATATGCAACATGAATACATATGTCCATGTGCTTACTGAGCATACACAGTAGGCTGCACATGCCTGGGCAGATATCCAGCTCTGTATGCATATAAGCTGGGCAAGTAAATGTCACAAAATTGTATCTGACAAAATCCACAACTAGCAGGTATTAGATGGCAGTGGGGTAGGGACCTCCCCCTTTAAGCAAGTGGCTAGTCAGGTCTCCCAGGAAGTGGGAGACCTAGGTCCTCAGCCCCCTC